GGTGTATACACAACTTATTAATATCCGGCTATTAAGGCCGAGGATTCATGTGAAATTTGAACCAGAGCATGCCCACGACATGCACAGGGGAGACTTTAGCGGTATTTTGTGGAGCTATGCTAGTTGCTGCGTGGACCGGATTAACGCCGACCTCACGAGGTCGTTCATGTTTACACTCATTGCCCCTTGAAAAATAAACATAATTTAAAAGGTCTGAGTGTTTGTCTTTTATGCTTATGACAGTACTACACTCTTATTTTTAGAAGTTATAAATCTATTTTTAAAGTTTGTTTTTGTAATTGATTTTTTTTTTCAATTAACAGAAGTTTGATTCTTACATGAGTGTAGAAATATGAAAACGAATATGGATCTTATAGGTTATCAGCCCAGAGATAAATACTATCTATAATCAATCATATTCATTTAAAATAATCACAAAACATCGTGTTAAAAGTTATCAGAATTTTTTTATGATTACGAAAGCAGATAGCCAATTATTAATAATAACACCAAACGACCCAGTTTGACCTCGTTAGGCCAGGGATAATTAAATATGTAAGTAAATGATTCCTTTGAGAATCCATACTGTTTACATGATACGGATTCACGAGGTTACACTGCCATATGAACTTTAATTCGTTATGTCAAAGTTCGGTCTTCATATAATCTAATGGTATGTACATCGTGTTGCTTGTTCTCCTTTAAAACGTCTTTCAATTATCCAGACTAGATGTGTTGCTGGAATATAGAGTAGATATAGTGCTCATTTCTTTCAATATACAACGAACTTTTAGGAGTTCATGTATTAACGCTGGCTCCACGCGTATATCTTGCTTAGCCTTAAATATCCTCATGAACCTCTCTTGTTTGTTAGTGAACATTTAACAATCTCGTCATCTAATAACCCCACACGCTCATATTGAAGAAGAAACGAATGGTACTTGGACTTCCCGTTCGTTTACAGCTTCAGGTGTAATGGCTTAATTAGCGAAACCACTGCAAACTAATAAAGTATTTGAGAGTCAATTTCTTGAGGGTAGTTTACTGTAAGGCTCTTCTTCCCTGCCTGTTTGGCAATAACACAACTCCGCGTGTTACCTTCAGGCTCAACTTGACACCCGTGAGTAGATGTTCGTTTTTATTATTGTCTAAACCTTTGCCTATTAATCGCTCACTTTGACTCCTTTGAAGCTTTTGTGAGGGTAATATACTGGAGATATAGGGGTTTTATTAGTAAAACATAAAATGTTGTACTACTGTGTGAAGATATAAAGTTAACAGTGTCCCGAACACTCCAGCAGTTAGCGGGTGCGTGGCAACTATAGATACTGTGGATAGTTTGGGGGGTAGCATTTTATTGTGCATACGGTCGGGTAATATACGGGTGGGTCAGGCAGTATTTGTAGTAGTTGAGAGGACAGTGACATATCGGGCGCCAGGACAGGTGTTCATGCCAGCGGGGTGGTGTCAGGGGTGACGGAAAGAGTTGGAGAATAGTCTGATTGTTTGAACAAATCAATTAAGGTCTGACAAACTAGACGAAACAATGGGAAATTATTTGAACAGATCTCAAAATTTCACAAATGTGGCATAATATTAAACTGTGAAAAAGGGTATCCCTTCTTCTTGCCGGGCTAGTTAACAAATTTAAAACCCCAAATAGATTCATTTTTCGCTTTTTTCATTGCTGTGCCTATCACGGAAACTAGAAAGTAAAGTGTTTCTTTCATAAGTTTGTTTTCGTTTCGCTCTTTCTCTGTTCAAGGGATTACTCTAGAAAACAATGTTTCTGCCATTTCGTATTTATTTTATTACGAAGTTTTTGGTTTTGAAAAGATATGTCTGCGTCCTCAGGGACTTAAACGTAGATACGTGTCCATACATCGTAACATCGCGAAAGCTTGTTAAATGTCGGATGATTCAGGAATTATCGTTTATTAATTATTTTTTTAAATTTTACATTACTTTTGAAAAAATATTTGTAGCGGAATACGTTATGAAGTGATCATTAACAACGACTAAAGACTGATTTGTGGTAATTTTCACTTTCTGGGATGTGCGAGCCTGACCCGTGGAAAGGGGTAAAAATGATAGTACTGGCGTATACTACGAAATACTGGCGTATATAAGGTATACTACGTATACTGCGTATCCTACGAAAGTGATTACCCAGTTCCACAATACATTCCTTGGCGCCATGGGGCGGTCGGGTAACCTAGTAACCTCGATTCCAGACAATGTGTAAAGCCCATTTCTGGTGTCCGCCGCCGTCATATTGCTTGAATATTATAAAAAGCGGTGTTAAACCTCACTTACTCACTCACCTTAGCGCTACGATCGTAAAACAATGTTTATATATAGGAGTACGGGTATCCGTGGCGCTATAATCGCAAAACAATGTTTATATATAGGAGTACGGGTATCCGTGGCGCTACAATCGTAAAACAATGTTTATATATAGGAGTACGGGTATCCGTGGCGCTACGATCGTAAAACAATGTTTATATATAGGAGTACTGGTATCCGTGGCGCTACGATCGTAAAACAATGTTTTTTTATGTAGAAGTACGGGTATCCGTGGCGCTACGATCGTAAAACAATGTTTATATATAGGAGTACGGGTATCCGTGGCGCTACGATCGTAAAACAATGTTTATATATAGGAGTACTGGTATCCGTGGCGCCACAATCGTAAAACAATGTTTATATATAGGAGTACGGGTATTCATGGCGCTATAATCGCAAAACAATGTTTATATATAGGAGTACGGGTATCCGTGGCGCTACGATCGTAAAACAATGTTTATATATAGGAGTACGGGTATCCGTGGCGCTAAGATCGCAAAACAATGTTTATATATAGGAGTACGGGTATCCGTCTAAATTTTGTGTGAACCTGTCTTAAGACAACGACAACAACCAGCTTTCACCGAATATGTAATTTATGATCTATATGTACTTGTCAAAGTGTGACACGTCAATTCCGTACGTGTCCACTTTCCTCATTGACTATTGATATTTGATTCACTGTCGTTTTTCTTCGTAACAAGTCCTTGAAACACATATCAATTACGATAAAAAAAAGTATAGAAATTGATGAAGGTAAGTTTTTAAGCGTGCTGAGTGTATCTATTTCCGTGACAATGGAACAGCTGGTTAGGAAGTATATATCGGGTTGCGGATGTAGAGTCTGCGTCTGTTTGGGAAAGAATATGTCAATATTTTGTATTTGTTCGCGGTATATTTCACAGTGGGGCTCAAACGTCGTCGAAATCTTGGCGTGATAACGGATATTTATTATTTTTCATTTTGCTTTGATGACGAACGTGGAATTGATGTTTTCCGTCATCACCACATTACGCGTTGTACCTGTTGAGTTAATAGATCGTGTGGGGATGCTGGGTTGGCAGATGTGTCCAGGGTCTTATGGTGGTGGTAAGAAGACTTATATTGTTTGTTTTGTTGTTGTTTAGAAAACGCCGCACCCAGCAATATTCCAACTATATGACAGCAGTCTGTATATAATCGAGGCCGGGCCAGACAATCCAGTGATTGACATCATGAGCACCGATCCACACAACTGGGGTACGATGACATGCATAAACAAAGTCAGCGAGCCTGACCAACCGATCCCGTTAGTTGCCTCTTACGACAAGCATAGTCGCCTATGGGTTGGTGAAGACCTGTTCTAACCCGGATATTCACGGGTCAAGAGAACTTATAGAACTCGGGGATTTGGTTGACTGCGTGTTATTGTACCCCGACTGTGTGGGGCGTTGTTCACACCACCAATCACTGGTTTGTCTGGCCCAGACTCGAGTAGCCTTACGGGCAGCCTTGACACAGCTGGAATATTATGGAGTGCAGCTTTAAACAATAAACAAACACAACAATGTTACCAGATGGATATGTATCAGAGATAATATTAGCGATATATTTCAGTGAGTGAGTATGGTTTTACGCCGTTTTTAGCAATATTCCAGCAGTCTGACGGTGGGTGACTCACTCACTCACTCACGCGCACACACACTCCACCATATATTTCACCCTTTTCATGCATCTACTGATGTTAAGAATTTGTTTAATGACAAGTTCAGGCAATATTCGGCTCTTCTTATGTTCCGCTTCACTGACGTTAATAAACGTTTGAACGACACAGCTAAGAGCTTACGATGTTGTTCATACAATGTTTGGGTCTTTGGCTATGACGGTTCATACTTCGATGAACTGCTACAATTAATAAAAGTCACATTTTAATTTGACAAACAAAGTCCCAGTCAAAGCCTGGTTGAACTGACGTGACGTCAGATCCCGGTGATATTGATCCGAGTTGATATCTTATGCTTAAGAGGGACACTGGTAGCTCAGTGATCTGATATTCTGAATATTGTCTTTCTGTCTTTGTCTGGGGAGGGCCTGGGACTGTGTTGAAAAAGATCCTATCTTCCAGAAATCACTGGCAAAACTGTTTTGCCTTGAGAAATAAATAATCGTTTGCTGGTAATGCCGAATGTCCTGGATTACATGTGTTGTGGGCTGTTGCTTCATGCTATCAATCACTGGTTTATCTGGTAGAGATCGATTATTTACGAGTGGCCACGGGTGGCCTAGTCGCAATTGCAGTTAGAGTGAGTGAGTATTGTTTTACGCCGCTTTTAGCAATATTCCCGCAATATCACGGCGGGGGACACCAGAAATGGGCTTCGCATATTGTACCTATGTGGGGAATCGAACCTGGGTCTTCGGCGTGACGAGCGAACGCTTTAACCACCAGGCTACCCAACCGCTCCAATTGCAGCTGGAAGTGCGTCCCATAGGTGGGTCAGAAACATTTGATCCTTGTTTCGAATCTCGGTTTTCCCTTATTGTGTTTCTAGGTTTATCAGCACCATACTTGCAGGCTTCATCTACAAGGTAAAAGTCTCAGGTGTACATCACTTCAGAGCCTCCTCCCACACCAAGCTGACTCGCCGTGATATAACTAACGCAGAGTCGGCGTAATGCAAGACACAAGCACAGGGAAGGGGGTATGTCAGGTGGATGATGCCTTTAAGGCAGGTAGGACTACAGTGCTGCAGGCAGCCTTGGTAATACAAACACCGTTTATCCAGACAACCACTCAATGCTCAATAATATTGTGCCTTCGTGGGACACCCGGGAAGTATAGGTCTCCGCTGCCCAAAACGTGACAGAGCCGGGGTCGTTAGTGGGGTCAAATCAGTCCTTTAAAGTTTCAATCCAGAGTACATTCAGTTTAGGCTCAGGTAGTTTCTCTCCCAGACGCTAGGGAATAAAATTGAAACTCAACTCAAGTCTAGAATGATTTGGCAAGTCTAGATTGCCTCAGCTCTGAAATTGAGGGTTGTTCTGGGCTCCATTTGGATTTTGTTGTTTTTATTTTGTAAATATATATTTTGAAATAAGATAAATGTATTTCTGGGACTAAATGTCAGTCTAAGGCTCATGTCACTCACTCAGTGTCCAAGGCCATTCACTTAAGGCTGAAATCCACGAGGGTGGAGCCTAGGAGGAGTTACCTGAGCTTAGGCTCATAACATTTCAGAGTGACCTCGGACAAGGCCGAAGTCACTGAGAGGGATTTAAGCCGGGGACTGCGTTGGGCCTCCGACACTGACCAGATTAAGATCAGGTGGTTGAGCTGATTGCGGGTCCTTGTAACCTTTCAACCTAGGTGATTGCTCATGCTATCGACCACTGTTTTTCACAAATGCAAGTATTTACATACCATTGTTGTACAGCGGGTATGTTTCTGAGTGCAACGTAAAACTTTTGGAAACTCACTTTCTGAAAGAAGGCACAACGTTCAGGAGGTGAATAAGTGCATGTCACTTTCCATTTCTGGTAAGCTTGTCGGGAAAAAAAACAACGTTTATCCAGAAGACGTTGACCGCATTGTCGAGTTTTTTCGTGCTGAAACAACTGCAACTAATTTTATTTGATTTGGATGTTTCCAATGATAAAAACAGCTGGCCTCCAAAAACTATTTTTTCTATTTCCGCCCTTTTCACAATGGAAAAAAGGCAACTATAATATATATATTATATTTCTTTTAAAGTATTAGGCGATAAAGTTACGTTGTTTTTATGACATAAACGCAACAACTAGAACGACCTTTGACCTCTGCTGCTTCAAATGTGGAGGGTTTATCGATCGTGTCATTTACTGAAAAAAGGATGCTTCTTTTTTTCTGTTCGTTGAAAATATGTGTACCCCTGACTCGTTTGAACGCTACCCAGAGGCGTTGAACCATTCAGTAGATTTATAGTTCTTTGAGTGTTAGATGATGCCAGATAACATCTTTGACCCAGAACAGAAGACGTTTTATCTAATGTTTTTAATAAAAGATTTTATGTTGAAATACTTAATCGGTAAAAACGCTCTCGTGCCCTTTAACACTTGAACTAAGTGACCAGATTATATCCTCAATGCACCCAATTCACTTTCCATCTTAGGGAGGGGAAGGGTAGCTCCATGGTCTAAAGCGCCGCAAATCGCTGAACTGGGTTGCGTCCACTTGCAGTGTCAGGATCCGATGTTTTTGAGCCTTGGTGTAGCAATTTGTAGCTGTTCATGTGGGTTTGAAAGTATGCTCTTAACGTAATCCCAATTAGTTGACATGGCGTAATATTATTGAAATTCTGCTCAAAGCGGCCATCCACACCCTCACGTATGTTACCCCACCCCATCCGGCATATCACGTCCATCAAGTTTGGTTACCCCAACATGTCACGTCAACCTCTTACTTACCTTACCTACCCCACTGTCGCTGAGCATCCTTTCTTTTGTTTCGCCATCCTCTGTATCTCCATATACAAACCCCTGAGCCCATTCCCTCATGGTTCTCGTGATCTCAAATTGTCCGCCCTTTACTTTCATTAACATTTTACCGACCAATCAAACGTCGAGTTATGGGAGATGAAATGAGACTTCTCATCGGCAATTGTAATGGACATGAAGGCATCCTAACCATCAAAACGACTTTTAAGGGCTTTCTTTTAAGTGTCAGTTGATTTTTCAATGTTTTTCGAAAACCCTATCACGAGACTGATATTCTTGCTACGCCAACCCAACACCGAGGTTGGTTTGTAACTCGCATTCTGATTGGTCCGTTAGATTGAGTAGCGCAGTAAATCAAATTGGCTAATGAAAATCGAGGGCGGGTAATTTAAAATTGCGATAACCACGGGGGTTGGTAGTGGTACCTATCCTATCCCAGGTTTGTTTGTTTGTTTGTTTGTTTGTCTTTGTTTAACGCTGTATTCAGCAATGTTCCAGCTATATTCAGGCGAGTCTGGACCAGACACTCCAGTGATTGACATCATGAGCATCAATCGACGCAATTGGGATACGATGACATGCATCAAACAAAGTCCACGAGCCTGACCACCCGATCCCGTTAGTCGCCTCTAACGACAAGCTTAGTCGCCTCTTATGACAAGCATGTGTTTCTGAGGACCTATTCTAACTCGCATCTTCACGAGTTATATCCCAAGTCATGAACTATATAATCACCGCGCTGCCTGCCAGGACTCGCTGACTACCGTGTATCCAGAGACTTGAGGACCCTGAACCCCTGAATACCGTTTATCCAGACACCCGAGGAGGCCACTGATCCACATATCTAAGAAGCCGCTATTCGATTAACAGAGTTGTTTCCCTTGGAGGTGCAAGGATCGCCTGGCGTCAGTTCGAATTCCAGTTTCGCCCTTAACATGCTGCTACTCTGTGTATCATATTTGTGTTCGTGGCTTCATAAGTGTGTCTCACGCCTCCGACTTTCTCCTCACCAGCTGGAACACACGAAATAGCTGCTATAATGTTCAAAGTGGCAATAAACCCAACTCACTCACTCACATACAAAGGCGACAAATACCCCTTGTGTCTTGCAGTGAAACATTCGGAACGGAATACTAAAACCGAGTATATATCGTTTTTAGGTAACGAAGAGGGTTATTTTTTTTTTATAAACCCAAACTTTGCCAAAGTTAGGCAAAGAACTCATACCCAAAGCTGACAGTATTCCATTTCAAAACACACCTAGAAAGCACAAATCGACCATCACATCATCACCAAAAACATATCTATTTCCTCAGTCCTTTTCCCAGTCCGAACCACGGCACATCGGCTCCAGCCCGCTGACATCCCGTGAACACACCACACACTCGCCCCTTTGCACAGCCACCTCCGTCTCAACATCCACGTCGCTCGTTCCCCCCGCCTCCAGACAACGTTCATGACGCCGTCGATCCCCCTTCCCTTTCGCTTACCTTTCCCAGTCCCTCCCGAGACAGCGTTCTCCCGTGTCTGCCCGCCGGCGTTACCTAAGAGTTACGTGGCCGTCTCTATCCACTAACACAAGCTTTGTGGCTCCAGCACTGGAGGCCGGCTGCTGGCGATGTTGCTGGATCAAACAGTGAGGCTGAGAGAGCCGCCGCTAGTCCAACACTGGGCTCCGCGGAGGGCGAGACAGGTCGCCATTTCAAACTAACAAAGTGAGATGTGTCAACAAACAAACAACAAAAAAATCATAAAAATAAAAATAAATATTTATTTTCGGATAAACGCTGCTGTGGTATTGGGAGGTATCTGAGCTAGGAGCGGGGGCGGCGTGAAGCTAGATGGAGCCGTGGGGTTGGGGTTTTAGGATGGTGGTGGTGGTACATACATGCTATATAACGTACGGTACATGGTACAATAGATACTGGCTCCGTGACACTGTAACTACAGACATATATGTAACGCTCACACCAAACTATTTTACATTATTTCTAAGATTCGTTATTGATATGAATAATATCAATATTTTTAATGGTATAAACCACCTTTCATTAAACCGACTCTTTCATCCGTGGTTTAACACCTTCAACCGGTTAAATATCCCGCTGAACAGACGGCTAGAGTCAGAGTTATCCGCTGTAGTGAGGACACGTGAAGTGAGCTGAAATAGGGTTAACGTCGCGTTCAATATTATTGCACTTATACAGCGACGTGCATGTACGTGTGTGTGTGTGCGTGCCCACCGAAATACCATGCCGCAGTTTAACATGAATACCCTACTCAGACACAGTGTACTGACTCCGAGCCGACCCCTTAAGCACCAGGCAGGGTAACAATAAATACCATCTTTTAACGTCTTTTGGTATGACGCGGCCGGTGATCGAACCCCGGACCTTCCGCTCTCCGGGCGGACCCTACCACTAGACAACGGAGGCGGTCTTGTACCGAGGATAACGCCGACGGATTGGTAAATCTGGAAATCAAACGAATATTGTTTTCATATAAAAGTGCCTCCACTGACACTGGGTTTACATGGCAGGAAGTGTATATAGGTGCAAGAATTAAACATAAACGTCCGTGTCGTAAAACGCAGCAATAAAGACACAGCATCCATACACTCTCCGAGTTGAACGTGTACACATTCCCCATAAAACACGATCGTCCCATGTGTCTGTATGGCAGGTAGATATGTATTGCGTCACCATCACTAAGCGCACCATCAGAGCCCGGCCAGTTTAAGTAGATCGTATTTTCCACCCGTAGCGCGCCTCTAATTCACAAAAGGCCCCGACAACGACATGTAGAGATTCCAGCGATATAGCTTGTATACGAACCACAAAAACATACTAAAGCTGACTATCAATTTTCCTGATTATAATTAAAGATTGCAAACATAAACAGTCACTGCACAAAGCAGCGTGATGCAATGACCCAGCACGGTGAGCATTAGGGGCCGGTTTATTGCCAAATGGCCCGATATTTATTTAAGCATGCCTTCGTGTATAGCCGTGCATCTTTTTGCTTTTGTTCCCGGTGAATATGGTCACATCAGCATGGAAACTAGCGACAGAAAGTCGGTTTTGTCCTTGTCAGCAAGATACGGCGAGGCAAGAACAAGACGAACCGCCCCCCTCTTTAGCGGGTCTTCAACCATGACGTATTAGCCGGTGCACATGAATGAGAGTTCCCCCATGCAGAACGATCCGCTTTGGTAAGGGACATTTTCTTCTTACCCGTGGGATGGGGGAACACTAGCTCTCATCCTTTCTCTGGCGCCTTAACCGCTTAATCCTTCCTATGGATCTACCCCTCCCCCTTCACCCCTCAACCCCTACCCCCTCCACCCCCACCCCCACCCCAAACCCCGTTCTCCGACAGCTCCCATCTTTTCTCTATCTTGGAAGACGTTATTTCATGTTCATCTGTCGTTCGCCTTTGTGTAATTGTTATGGTATGAAAGAGATTTCCTTTGCCACAAGATGCTTTCCAAAAGTTATCCTTTCATTATTATCTGGCGTTGCTGACACTTTCACACACACACTGCAGGTAGTCGTACAACTGGGAGAAGGTGCTCTCACCCAGTCGGTAGAAGAGCACTGTAACATAGCGAAATTACTACTATTGGCGGCCTACTCACTTTTTATTATTACTGATCTCCATTATTTCTGATAATCATTTTCATTGTCGTCCCTGTCAATTGTTCTCACTGTTGATGTCCAAATTAGGTATTCTTGCTACTGATGTCCTAGTCAATTGTTCTCACTATTGATGTCCTCGTCAATTGTTCTTGCTACTGATGTCCTCGTCAATTGTTCTTGCTACTGATGTCCTAATCAATTGTTCTTGCTACTGATGTCCTAATCAATTGTTCTGTCCTAATCAATAGTTCTTACTACTGATGTCATAATCAATTGTTCTGTCCTAATCAATAGTTCTTACTACTGATGTCCTAGTCAATTGTTCTCACTATTGATGTCCTAGTCAATTGTTCTTGCTACTGATGTCCTAATCAATTGTTCTTGCTACCGATGTCCTAATCAATTGTTCTGTCCTAATCAATAGTTCTTGCTACTGATGTCCTAATCAATTGTTCTGTCCTAATCAATAGTTCTTACTACTGATGTCCTAGATAATTAGTTTTTTTCTGCTGTTGGACCAGTCAATTATTCTTAATCCTAATGTTCTGATCAATTGTTTTTATTACTGAAGTTCTAGTCGATTGTTCTCACTACTGATGTCCTATTCACTTGTTTTTACCACTGATGTCCTAGTTAATTAGCATTGTTCTTACTACTGGCGGTCTAATCACTTATCATAATAGATTATTATGTTTACTATATGCACTCTCTTTCGTGACTCCTGGATAGCCCTCGTTACTAATGAATATTCTTGTTATCATTATTGTTACTAACTCACTTTCCAGTTAACTTTCACTGACGTGCTCAGTCAAAATTGTTAGTCCTGGCGTCACCCAGCTGGCCTACCTGGCGTCACCTTACTCGATCTATCTTACCTACCTCAATTCGACGTAAAATCCAACTCACTCACTCACCCTGCCATTGCTGTATCAGTGAGTGGGTGAGTGAGTTGGGTTGAACGCCACTTTGAACAATATTCCAGTCACGGCGTGTCAGCGTAATTGGGAGGAAAGCCCGAAGTGATGCAGGTCTAAGACATTTACTTTGGTGAAACCCACGAACACGGGTATGGCGCTGACAAACCTAGAAACATAATCTCGGCGAACCGGGATTCGAACCCATGGTCATCTGAGGTCAGTCGTCTGAGGTCCGTAATCGGCGTCCAGACGCCCGGGTTCGCCATGCTCGTGTGTTTCTTAACGTCTAAGCTCGGCATCACTTCAAGTTTTCCTCCCACAAGCTGACACCTCGTCATGTACTGAACATTGTTTGAAGCGGTGTTACCCCTTACTCACTCACTCACTCACTCACCTTACCAATGCGATATCAGTTTCACTGCAACAACATTTCGTGGCGATGGGCTTGCAAAAGAAATATTAATAAGCTACAAATGTATTTTATAGCTGTATTTCACGTAGTTAACAATAAGATTTACGCTAGTCTAGCGTGACAAAATGGCATCCATTGTGTACAAAACACTGACAACAACTAAGTTGCTTGTCAGTTTAATTGAATATAGCTTTGATACGCGAGCCTTCAAACTGTGAGAACTATGAAAGTCATAATGCCATAATTAAATAAATTATATACAAATATATTACAGTTGTTGTGATAGAATTTCAAATTTGACACCGCGGGGTGCACCTAATAATCTCGCCTGAAGGTGTCTGAATGGTTTAAGCATTTGAGAGATCAAAGAATTGGGTGGTTCTTTTTAAGTGATGCTCAAATGTGGTTGAAACTAGCTTGTAGATCAAAGTGTCAGATGCACTGAGCTGTTTGAAGTTTAAATTATAAACATATTCATATGGTGACAAATAGTTACTCGCTGGAAAATGGTCCTCTTTGCTTTCTGTATCTTTCTGGTTAATGTGAGATATGGCTATCGCCCTCACCAGGTTGAAATTGGATGAGGACAATGTTGGCGTTCATCCAAGGTGTTAAATGAATGGTAACGCTTCTGTGCATTGTCGGTGAGCGTGTTTTCATCAAAGTCATCATATTCATGTTATGTATATGATGGTGTCTATGCGTACTTTTTTTAAGGAAACGATAACCAGACAAAACTTAATTTTAATGTTTAAAGCAAGTGTGCATAAGGCATCTTATCATCACATCTGATATATATAATTATAATGCAGTGGTTGTTATTTTTTTTAATAAATGTGTAGTATGTCACAATGAAACATGATATAAAACACTGCTAACATTTGCCATAAGCCCTAAAACGTAATACTGTTGTATCTTAATTGGCTTTAGAATTCAAAAGCGTCATGCATTCCCAAACAAGCTTCTTACAATTGAAAGACTGCACTGACCTATCGGGTTTTCAGTATGATTCAGAGTGTCTCTATATCGTACAAACCAAGCCTGCAACAAGAGAATCCCAGCTTCAAGTCTTCCAGACATACGTATAAGTGCATTTTCAAATGAGCCTTTGATGAACTTTGTGTGTTTACAAAAACGCCCCCCAAATTTAAAACACCTAATTGATGGTGACAAACCATAGTTTGGGAGTAAAGTGGCTTCAGACTTAAATTTTCTCCATGCTTGATTTAATGCAAAACCCACGTAGCGGCGTGGTTAAGCTAATACAACACGCCGCTAGCAGGATCTAATATTTAACAATCATTCATCAAGTTTTGCTTGTGTGTTTTTGACCAAGATTAGCGACACTTCTAAGTGGATGAGTAGATGGAACACCAGAATACGCGTGAACAAAACGCCGTCCAATGTCTACACTTAATGGGAAACAAATACTCAATCCATCAAATCCCGGCTTTAAGTCACACGAAGGTTGGGCTTTACTGTAGATTTGGATAAAAATCCATAAAAGCGTTTTGTCATACTTTGAACGTCGGTTTAAAACGTGCCATATGTATTCATTTGATGTCACCGAACCCATTTCGGGTCGTGAAACTGTTACGTAAAACAATAGTGCTTGGTGTGCAACAGGGTTATGTACTGCGTCCTATTCTGAAAATGATAACAAATATTCAAAAGCCCTAAATGTTTTTACTGGTAAATAATCATAACTTTCTGTTTCAAGCTGTTTTCCCCAATGAAAGTGATCAGTGTGCATCAATTACGTCCTATTTATGTAACGACTTTATACCTTTTTGATGTTAAATGATTCTTGTATATTGGCCAGTGGTTTAGGTTCAGACATATAGATATGAATAAACTTTTGTTATTGATTGTCAAACTGACCAGTTCTTTTCCTGGTCAAGTATCGGTATAAATTCGCTATAATGAAAACATCCCAAAGCATTTGTCGGCGCCCCTTATTGAAGATTTCTCTCCATTACAAGGCCACTGTGGATTTGTACTGACCGATGGTCAAGTATGTGTGCTCAAATGACCAATACAAACGACTAATGTGGCTAACTCATCACGTCAACATGTGAAAGCGGTCCGCGCGATTTTTCACACATTTCTGTTTACTCGTTGTCGGTAAAAACGAAGGCTCTATCGCCTCCCAAATGCTTCTGAATACCCTCCCCCTTTCGTCGCGTCTGAAACCGGCGTTAAGCTATTATTTGCGGGACAAATACGATTTGGCCAATGTGTATAAAATATTTAGAAATAGCTGCAAATATGACAAATCTTCCCGTTTGTGCCATGCATAATGTTTCATTGTTTTTTCGAGCGACTGCAAGGCGCCCGTGATGTATTATTTAACACACCCTCGACAAGGGGTTGATTCGTCCTATGTTCTTAACACGAAAATAAATCCAACGCGTTTAATCAAGATATTTTGCTCCGTTACGTCAATATGTATTTTCTGTGCCACTGATTATCAAATATGTGACGCCCGTGTTGATTTTCATTGTAGGCATACTTTCAAAACTATAACCTGCATCTGGATGTATCATTTCTTTAACCGACACACACTGGTGTAACGAAATGGAGAACGTGCGTGTTTATATGTTTATCTTACAGCCCGTTTACATGCTCTTATTTGGTTACATGGGAATAATTTGCTCAAATGCACAATAAAACACAATGGAGTGTTTACACAAATGAGTGAATTTTAATATGGTGCAAATTTGCACCTAGTTGGACTAGGTGCAACGTTTATTTTACTTCAAAAACAAAGTATACACCCATATTTGGTTAAATATGAGACAAAGAAGAAATTGTTATTGATTGGAAATGTATTTGATATGGGTATCATAGTTGCATCTATTATATTATATCTATTATCAAAGCTGAATATTCATTTTACACCTATTTCGTGGATACGAAATACACTGCCGGACAAAAGAAAGTATACACCCATGTTTAATGGTGGCTAAACATGAAACAAACAAGAAATGGTTACTCGATGATGATGTATTGATAGTTTGGTTTGGACTTAAAGTTTGCAGTGTTTCGGCAACTGTTTTCAACCTAGTAATGTTGTCATAACGTTCGCACTGTTTGTTCAAATGCAATTTTCAAGTGTATACTTTCTTTTGCTCGGCAGTTTAAGCCAGGATGTGTATGAAGTCCTCTATCCAGTAAGACAAGCAACATGTTTTTGAAGCAGTAATGAATCAGTCAATGGAACGGTTCCATTGTGAGGGATTGTTGGAAACTTGAATAGCTGCCACATTCTGGAGCAATGCCATGATGAGTTGGAATTGTAACACGAACCTAAAGCAATCACAGCCAGGCAAAGATGACAATTTTTCCTGAACTGGATTTGTATCCAACTCCAACATGTTTCTTCTATGAATATAAATGTTTACTGCCTGCAACTGCTTAACAACAGCCATATCATCTCTCTCCATCCTAAACATCATTGCAACATTAACACGAAGACGTTTGACAGATAACTGTCTTAGATTTAAAGCAATCAGAAAACTCCATTACGGTTTAAGTGAGAAAAATCCTATCTCGCGAAATAGCTACACCCTAGGGTCTTACAGTGCATAATTCTTAAGAAGGTGTAAATTAAGGAATCGTTTAAAACCGAACGCCGGTTAACAGGCCGACTTTTCGTCGCGCCGTCATGTTCATTAGAGTAGCCAGAATCTGGCATTTCGCAGCAGCATCGTCGCCGAGTTAACTTTTCGATACCACCGCTTTATTGGCCAATCGCTATCACTAATTACCACCCCGTGGGGCGAAAGGGTGGCATGAAAATTAGAATGATGGGTTTATCTGAAGCGTATGTCAAAACCCTAAGAGGTTGCGATAGTAGAGATAAGGGCATATCACAGAGGAGTCTGCAGTTTGTGGTCGGGGGACTTTCAAGTCTGACTGATGGACTGTATATCGAATTAATCCAAACCTTCTGGCTTGCGTTGCGAGAAAAATGGAAGGAGAAGAAATTAAACGCTGTAATAAAAACATGGCCGTAGGCATAATTAAATATTGTTGTTTCACTTAAAGCATTGTTTTTCATCATCGTTTACACTGAAATAAACATCTCGGTGTTACGAATTGCAAAGAAAGCAACTGGCTTGAATGTATTGGTACGTGGAGGCTTTTACAGTCCAAATTCTGTATTATGAAAATAGCCCGAGCTGGTTATCTCGAACCTGTGGACGTCGAACTTATTTTCATCTCGAGGGTTAGAAATGTGCTTTTCATGTATAGGATAATCTACTCTGCCGATGGCTGTCCAGTCGAACACCTGCAGTGGTCATGTTCCAATTGGGCGTTTAGGTTAGTGGTTAAAGCGTTCGCTCGTCACGCCGAAGACCTGGGTTTAATTCCCCAACGAGTACAATATGTGAAGCCAATTCTTGTTTTCCCCTGACATAGAATATTGTAGTATACGTAAAGCTAAACTAAGTCACTTATTAAAATCGCCGTATCCTAAAGTCTAGGCTTGTTTGACAAACGGTGATCTTGACCATGCAATAATGACCCCTGTCGGGTGTCATTGCGTAACAAGTCATACAATGCTGTACACATGGGCCAACTCCTGTGTAAGTGTGTCCCAGTCATCCCGTTGTCATTGCGTAACAAGTCATACAATGCTGTACACATGGGCCAACTCCTGTGTAAGTGTGTCCCAGTCATCCCGTTGTCATTGCGTAACAAGTCATACAATGCTGTACACATGGGCAAACTCCTGTGTAAGTGTGTCCCAGTCATCCCGTTGTCATTGCGTAACAAGTCATACAATGCTGTACACATGGGCCAACTCCTGTGTAAGTGTGTCCCAGTCATCCCGTTGTCATTGCGTAACAAGTCATACAATGCTGTACACATGGGCAAACTCCTGTGTAAGTGTGTCCCAGTCATCCCGTTGTCATTGCGTAACAAGTCATACAATGCTGTACACATGGGCCAACTCCTGTGTAAGTGTGTCCCAGTCATCCCGTTGTCATTGCGTAACAAGTCATACAATGCTGTACACATGGGCAAACTCCTGTGTAAGAGTGTCCCAGTCATCCCGTTGTCTGAAATGTTGTCACTCACCGTACAGAGTTGATAGTTGCTCATACGACTTTGTCAACGAAGACAACACTACCATCCTCAACACCCATAGTAGCCCCGCAAATCTTGGACCCTCAAACCCATAGTAGCCCATAATAGACACAGCTACTCTACTAACATCGACAACCATAGTAGGCACAGCAACTCTACCACCCTCAACACACAGTAGCCCCAGCAATTCTCCCACCCTCAACACACAGTAGCCCCAGCAACTCTACCACCCTCAACAACCATAGTAGACACAGCAACTCTACCACCCTCAACACACACAGTAGCCCCAGCAATTCTCCCACCCTCAACACACATAGTAGCCCCAGCAATTCTCCCACCCTCAACAACCACAGTAGCCCCAGCAACTCTCCCACCCTCAACAGACATAGTAGCCCCAGCAACTCTCCCACCCTCAACACACAGTAGTCCCAGCAACTCTACCACCCTCAACACACAGTAGTCCCAGCAACTCTCCCACCCTCAACACACAGTAGTCCCAGCAACTCTCCCACCCTCAACAACCATAGTAGCCCAAGCAACTCTCCCACCCTCAACAGACATAGTATCCCCAGCAACTCTCCCACCCTCAACACACAGTAGCCCCAGCAACTCTCTCACCCTCAACAACCACAGTAGCCCCAACAACTCTACCATCCTCAACACACAAAGTAGCCCCAACAACTCTCCCACCCTCAACAGACATAGTAGCCCCAGCAACTCTCCCACCCTCAACACACACAGTAGCCCCAACAACTCTCCCACCCTCAACAACCATAGTAGCCCCAACAACTCTCCCACCCTCAACACACACAGTAGCCCCAACAACTCTCCCACCCTCAACAGACATAGTAGCCCCAGCAACTCTCCCACCCTCAACACACACAGTAGCCCCAACAACTCTACCACCCTCAACAACCATAGTAGCCCCAACAACTCTCCCACCCTCAACAGACATAGTAGCCCCAGCAACTCTCCGACCCTCAACAACCACAGTAGCCCCAGCAACTCTACCACCCTCAACACACACAGTAGCCCCAGCAACTCTCCCACCCTCAACAACCATAGTAGCCCCAGCAACTCTACCACCCTCAACACACACAGTAGCCCCAACAACTCTCCCACCCTCAACAACCACAGTAGCCCCAACAACTCTACCATCATCAACACACACAGTAGCCCCAACAACTCTCCCACCCTCAACAGACATAGTAGCCCCAGCAACTCTCCCACCCTCAACAACCACAGTAGCCCCAACAACTCTACCACCCTCAACACACACAGTAGCCCAAGCAACTCTCCCACCCTCAACAACCATAGTAGCCCCAGCAACTCTACCACCCTCAACACACACAGTAGCCCCAACAACTCTCCCACCCTCAACAACCACAGTAGCCCCAACAACTCTACCATCCTCAACACACATAGTAGCCCCAACAACTCTACCATCCTCAACACACATAGTAGCCCCAACAACTCTACCATCCTCAACACACATAGTAGCCCCAGCAACTCTACCACCCTCAACACACACAGTAGCCCCAGCAACTCTACCATCCTCAACACACACAGTAGCCCCAGCAACTCTACCACCCTCAACACACATAGTAGCCCCAACAACTCTACCATCCTCAAGTACCACAGTAGCCCCAACAACTCTACCATCCTCAACACTCACAGTAGCCCCAGCAACTCCTGTAACACTAACAATCACAGTAACCGCGGCATTATCAATTCAATACAATTATCAAGCCCGAATAACACATGTAGCCACGGCAACCAAACAATACACACAGTATAATGAACACATTTAGAACTTCTACCCTATCCCAATTCATATCTGAAGAATTATTGACACCAAATCCTCAGTCCTTTGAGTTTTACCACGTACAAACTTTTTGTTTCAGAGATCTATTAGATCGGATGAAAATGTCTCACAACACCAACGTTCGTCTCAACGAGTGAGGTTCGGTTCCGTATCAGTCAGTTTCAGTAAAGTCCGAGGTTCACGGTATACCTCCCGGGTCCTCTTTTCATGTATTATCATGTCTTTTGAACTTTTCTTTATATCAACGATGGCGAGACGGTAATTACCCCAGTAAGCCGACTCATATAAAATCATTTAATGATCAGCAGACCTTGCGTTTTTAGTTCCTTATTTTTGTAGCAACTTTGTTTATTACGCCACTCCGATTCGGGGAGATAAAATTATGAGCCTCGTGCGTTGTGCTCCATAGTGGGACGGCACTTCGGGTTCATTTAATGCGAAAATTTATCTGACATTATACATGTTAAGATTACACTATTAAGTCATATTTTCAACCAGTCATTTAGGACTAAAGTGCAAAATCTCCATTAATTTCGTTTCGTCTATACTTCTAAGAGTGATAACCGTAAAAGGTTGGTTGGATGTAAAAGTAGAACTGGCGCCACATGCGAAACCGCAACGCCTCCATCTAAGTTCATATGTTTTAGCGTGTTAATTTAATGTAAAAGGCGACAGTGGGTGTTTGGGGGATTCGCTAATGCAGGGGTAGGTTTCTGTCGAGGATGCGGTGCCAATCGCCAAAATCTATACATATTTGCATAAGTTCTAAGAAACCGACGCAGTGCAAATAGTTCTAATTATACATCAAACACGCCTGCCTGACGTCCCCAGCAAGGTTCTCATATACTGTCTAATGGAACCGAACCAGAACATAACCGCTTTATTCTGTCTGTCATAAATAAACAAAATAAATACCCAGTCTGAAGAGGCGGTCGGAGCACTTTCATTATCCGTTCCCGCGACGTAAGAAAACACTCCTCAATAAGTGTTGTGTGTCATTTAGTTAAGATGGCTTTTCAACAAGTTGTACCATTTTTTGTTGTACACATGCTTTAGAGACTTCGTTTACTATTTGTTCTATTCCTATTGTTTTCTTGGTCTTCGTGTCGAGTAATTTGAAGTATTGTACTGTTGTTATACAGTAGACTACCGTTATAACGAACACGCTTACAACGAACCGACGGATATAATGAACTTACTTTTTTGGTCCCGACTATTTGCTGTAGTTATGCTGTATATATCCTTACAACGAAGTACGGTTATAACGAACTAAAATTAGTAGTCCCTTTAAGTTCGTTATAACCGTAGTTTACTGTATTCTGCTTCCATGGTAGATTACGTGTAAGTAAGCTAATTTCACCAAAGTGGTGTATATTTTCGCCTACAGAAAACTTATTTCAACCACATGGCTGTAATCCTGTTAATAGCGTCATCAAGCCCACATCACTTGGCTGCCATGTTAGTCGTGCCAGAGTCCGCATATTGTGGGTTCGTATCACAGATAACACCGATTATGATTCTTGGTTTGTCTGCACCATACCCGTGCTCGTTGGTTTCACCAAACTGGTAAACGTAGACCTGGGTCTATTCGGTTTGTCCTCCCATTTCACGCGGACCCGTGAAGATCCGGGGTAGAATAGGTCTTCAGCAACCCATGCTTACCGTAAAAGGTGACTATGCTTTTGGTAATAGGCGACTAACGGAATCGGGTGGTCCGGGTCGCTGACTTGGTTGATGCATGTCACCGCATACCAGTTGTGTAGATCGATGCTCATGATGTCAATCACTGGAATATCTGGTTCCAGACTCGATTATTTACAGACCGCCATCATATAGCTGGACTATTACTGAGTGCGGCGTAAAACAATAATCATCACATCACATAACATCACGTGGACCGCCGTGATGTCACTCGAATACTTTTCAAAACGCATTCTCAGTCTCACTGCACTCACGTGTTAGTAAGCAGGTTGGTTTAAAGAGGTGTGAGGTGAAATGGGGTTTAACGTCGCGTTCAAGATTAATGCACTTGTATAGCGACGTAAATGCATATTGTATAGTGCTAGCTCACTGAGATACCATGCCGCAGTTTAACATGAATACCCCACTCACATACAGTATACTGACTCCGAGCCAACCAATCCTTGTTTTAGCTCCTTAGTTCCGAGTGCCGGGAGGGTAACAACAAGTACCATCTTTTAACGTCTTTTGTTTGAAAGAAATGTTTTCAATATAAGGCCATTTTATAACTGTTATCTTATTTGAGGCAATTTAAAAAGTTACAAATCGATATCTGAGTGAACGTTGTTTCTTTTTCGCCACAGCAAGCAATAATGCAGGTGTAACAACAACAAAGATCTTTAAAGGCACATCTTCAAAGTCTAACAATATCTGTATATCGTCGTACCGAAATGTACAAAATGAGTATCATTCTATGTTTGTGTGTAAACTCTATCTCCCATTAAGAAACACATGTATTCCCAAGAAGATTACATCTCATCTAAATATCAATTTGTTTTGCACACCCATGTCAAACTGAAATGTTACAACTGCAAAATATGCGCATTTTACATACAGAATAGAAGAAACGAATCTATATTGGCTTACTCTGCCCTGTATTCCAGGTGTGTGCGTGGGGTAAGTGGGTAGGTGGGTGGGGTATTTGGCGTTTGGCTCTGTATGAGGAAGGCAAACGCTGTCTATCATATTCTGAGCTAACAATAACACGCGTGAGGCTGGTGAGGCTGGAGGCCGAGCACGCACTGGCACACGTGCACAAACACACAATAACTTGCACCTGTATGTATAACAGTGTTTACCCTGGAACTGAGACTTTATCAAATAAACGTTTCTTTATGTTAAAACGTATCATGATATTTTGAAAACTATTTTTATCATACAAGGGATAGTGGTATCGATGCAATATACTAATGCAATCACTTGGTATCATGATCCGATACATATGCGAGGTCGCCTAGCAGGAACAACTTCCATGCTCCATACATCGATATAGCGTTTGCTTGTCCTATACACTATTGTCTTATGCTCACAATACTTTAAGATAGGGGTATCTTGATGTGTGGGCGATTCTGTATGCAAATCATTTAGCACTATACTATACGCCCCCGGCGGTGCACTCCAACATTGTATTCATACGCGGTTCCTGGAGCTATTTCGTTGAGAGAATTTACTTCCTATTGACATCAAACATTTTAAGCAGGACAATATGATAAGAGAGTATCAATACTTGTGTGTGTCCGTATCGTATATATCGTGCATTAGGATCAAACATATTTATTCCTAATAAATATTTATGATTTGGAAACAGTCGGCTAATAATCACTGTGATCTGAATTGAATTGCTCAAGTCAAAAGTATATTTTAAATGATGAAGTATTTTGTTTGACAAAAGTTTAATAAATCGAACTGCAGTTTCTTATTAAAAAAATAATAATGATATTTTCGTTACTTCATTACATTTACGAAGAAACGTTAACTTACTATTCGTTTTTAATTAAAGACAAATTGTGCAAAAACATATGACAGTTTGTTTCGATGAGTGAATTGACAACTGAGGTCGTCGTCAGGCCATGATTTTAAAACCAACAACCAATCAGCATGACTCTTACAAACGAGTTCGGAATAGACCCAAATTCAAAATGGCGGCGGCGCGTGAGCCTTCGATATATTTAAGGTAAAAGCGTTAAGTTAAAACTTAAATATCACGAAATATCTTTTTTCACGGATGCTATTGCATACTACTCAATAGTTAGTAAGGGTTGAACTAACGTTCAGCCAATCGAAGAAAACGTCATGACATCTTTAGAACAATGAAACCTTTCGAGAAATTACACCGTGTGGACATATGATGGTATTCTACGAATTAAACATTGTCGTTTCACATCGACCTTACTGAAGCAAAGGTTTGGTCAGTGGACGTTACGTGGACATATTTGGACGCAATGAACTCAGGATGGTGTTATTTGTAGTGTGCTGCAATATGCAGCGAAATTGCATCAAGTTTTGACTTTTAATCAGCGCCCTTTGTTTGTTGTTAAACGCCTCACTCAGCAATATTCCAGCTATATGATGGCGTTCAATGAGAATCACATAATGTAAACATACTAGAATGTATGCATGACACTTGATTTGTCAAGCTTTATAGGTACATGTAATATCATTCTTTCACTGAGACCGTCATCTGATTTCGTTAAAAACATGTATGTACATTCTTGGTCGTCATGGAGACAAAAAGGGTGACGTGAATGGATATTATTTTACGCCACAGATAGCACTGTTCCAGCTTCATGAGCACGGCCTGTAAATGCCCGAGTGTTGTCGTGACAGTCGTTCAGCTACGTGCCATGTCGTGGTGAGAGAATGCCGACATGAACCAGTTCACACGGTGTAGCCACCCGATCCTCTTTTAGTCTGCTCCTCCTGTAAGCGGGGCAGAGGTGGTCCAGTCGTCTAAGGCGCCACAATACGCTGTGCAGAGTTGCTTCCCTTGTTCACGCTAGAAACCTGTGATTGTGGGTTCGAATCCCGATTCGCCCCATTTATGGTTCTAGGTTTGTCAGCACCATACCCGTGCTCGTGGGTTTCACAGAAGTGGTGAACGTCTGAGACCTGCATCACTTCGGGCTTTCCTCCCACATTAAGCTGACACGCCATGATATAACTGGGATACTGTTAAAAGCGGCGTTAAATCAAATATGCTCACTCACTTACTCACTCTTCTTAAAGGCATTGAGAGCAGTCCCCACCCGGACTTTTGTGGAATTATCATGAAGATAGTGACACTGATGTTTACACTAATAACCACAGGTATTTAGGGTCACGGAAATTCTTTATCATACATTTGTCTATAATTACATATAAAATCATCTTAAACAAGATATAGTCTTGAACTCTACAAGACAGGTAGATGTAGTGACAGTAGTAACGGTAGATGTAGTGACAGTAGCAGTAGATGTAGTGTCTGTAGTAGCAGTGGGTGTAGTGACAGTAGTACTAGTAGATGTAGTGACAGTAGCAGTAGATGTAGCGCCTGTAGTAGCAGTAGATGTAGTGACAGTAGTACTAGTAGA